TTTAGTTTTTAAGTTGTTCTTTTAAAAAATTCCAATTTAACATTTTTTTAAAATCTTTTTTTAAAAATACATAGTTTTTAATCTTAATGTTCCAATATCTAGAACACCTCTGAGTCCAATTGTTTTGTTGTTTCTCTCTTAGCTTTTAAAATTTTTAGGCCAGTTTTTTAGCATGCTTTGTAAGTTTTTGTTGCTGAATGCTACTCATCATGAATAAAAAAATTAGGAAACTCCCGTTTATGATTATCTTTATTCTCCAGAAGACAGGTAGATCATGATCAAATCACTTGAACCCAGTTGAACTTGGCTAATTCTGGTTTGTCCATTCCCCTTGAACTTTCAGGTTTTCAATGGAATGCCTGCCATTTGTAAGCCCTGAACCCCAATTTGATCTTTGGAATCACGATAATGCCCAAATCTCAACTTTAGCTTTTTAGCCTCTTAGCAGCAACTCTCTTCCACTTAATTTTTGTCTTACCTGGCCCATGTACAGCTTAGAAAATTGCAGATGTTTCATGAGGAAAAATGTATGAAAGAGTGTGTTTTACTTTTCTATGGTCCTTTTTTGTTTCTGGGACACTGGTACTTCAGTTATATGTCTTAGAAATGCATTTCCCCTCCCTAATATGTTAGTTTCTCATGCAATATGTAGATGCTTTATTTCTATCATCAGCCTTAAATATGAAAATGTGTGGAGGAAAAAAAGCAGCCTTAAGCAGAGTTCATCACAGTATTTATATGCTTTTTGGAAAGTTGACTTCTAGAGTTGTGGCTATCCTTCATTACTTTTTAATATTTTCATCAGATCTTTTTAACCCCCCCCCCAGCTTTTATAGGTTTTCTTAATTAAAGTATTATTGGGATAGCAGTTCTCCATAAAAAACAGAAGCAGAAAAATTTTAATAATTCTTATTTTCTTTTTTAGAACTTCTTAAAAACCCCATAAAAATCTAGATTTTAAATGTTCCAAAATTAAAAAATACTATTAATATAACAAAATGTCAATAGTATTTGTAAGGTATTTTATATAGCCATCTATTGGCCATGACTGAAAAGAATTCTTTAGGAAGCACTTGAGTTTCAAATTACTGTCCTTGCCTTAAGTGGTACTCTGTATTCTTATCTAAGTTCTATGTAATTCACAAGGCCCATTTTGAATGCAGACAATGTTTTAGACAATAGATACACAATGGTGAACAAGAGTCTTGTTGACATGTATCTTATATTGTGAGAAAGTTGAAATCAACAAACTGAATTTTAGATAATAAGAGAAAATAGTATCTGTGTTGAGGAAGATAATTACATTACAGTAGTTAAGGAAAGCTTGACATTTGAGTAAAAAACTGAATGAAGAGAGTGTAAACATGGAGTATGAGGAATTGTCCAGGTGGAAAGGTAAGAATGACAAAGAATCACCAGGGTCCATCCCATTTCTTCATTTTCCAAGAGAGGTTCCAATTGTCTCAGCTTACAATGACCAGGCCAAACTCTTGTTAATAGTACTTGCTTATAGTTCATTGGGCAGTAAATGCATGTTACATCATAATATGAGTTATCAATTTGAGATGCTTGCTTTCTACATGACTCAGCTTCTTCAGATCAGAAACTATGTCCTATTGTTTTGTTGTATACAGAAAGTCCAAAATTGTACTCATTTAGCAAGCATTCAATAAATACTGATGAGTATGATCACAGGAGTCTGATATAATATTCTGTGATGTTGTAATAACTTCAAAGAGCATATCAACTCTAGACTAATGATATTGTTGAGCAGAGGGTAGTAATAGATTTTTGCTTTCAAAAAATATATTTAAAATCTATTGGTCTTGAACTTTATTTGTAGTGATCTGATAATGTTATAAATGTATTCATAATTTATTAAAAATAATATACTTTTCTTAACTGAAAATATTTCATTATTAGTTGCTGAGGCATAACTCTATTATAGACCTTAGGAATTAAAACAATTTTCCTTGGATTAAAATAATGCACAACTTCACAACTATTGCTTATAATTAGCCTACTTTTTTGTCATAAAATATTTCTAAAACGAAATCAAAGGCCCGTAACACTGACAGAGATAATTCATACTGTAGAACTGTGGTGGTGTGATACTGAAATCATAGTAGTAATTGTAAAATTTCATGGTTTAAAAAAATGATGCAACCTTAGGGACATGTTCTAAATAAGCACAAAGATATTTGAAATTAAAACGGTGAAATATCTTTCCTTTATCTTTTATTTTATTTTAGTTGTAGATGAACATAATTTAGTTTTAGATAGACATATACCTTTATTTATTTTTATGTGGTGCTGAGGATCAAAGTCAGTGCCTCACACATGCTAGGCAAGCACTCTACCACTGAGCCACAACCCCAGTCCTGACCTTTGTCTTTATTTAAATGATTGATCAAATATCATTAACCTTGATGCAAGAAGACTGTAAGTTTGGCTTTATTCTGAGCTATAATAGTATTTCCTTGTGCTAAGATTGTTCTAATCTTGTTTTGCTTCTGTCTTTATCCAAAGAAACAACTTATTGATTTTCAAATAGTCAGTTTTGTTTGTTCTTTTCAAGTAGGCAGTATGGTGTTACTCTGACTTTGAATCATGGCCCTACTTAATAGTTTTGTGACCTTGGCAAATCAATTCTTCAGCGTTCTTATCTTCCAAATGAAGATGAAATCTTTGCCATAAGCCTTCAAAACATTCAGTCTTCAAAATCATTGTTAGTTGTTCAACCCCTTGAGGCAGTATTCTATTATATTAAAAGGAATCAATCAAATGTTTATGAGGGTGTGATTACCTGAAATAAACATATTGAACATTTTGGGGTGTTGTGAAGCTGGAAGTAGAACTTTGGTCATATTCTCTCTTCATCTCTTTTTAATAATGGTAGTTAAACAAATTTTTTAGAATTTTGTCATTAAGGAGTAAATCTAAACAGGTTGAATAGTGGAAATTTTACTGCTTTGGGAAAGACTAATAAATGTTCATTAAAATTATAATTTTTTTCATTTTCCAGAAAAAGAATTAGTTGAGAAAAGTAATTCATTTATAAACACACAATATGTCAAATACAGAATTCAATAATCCAAACACAGATCTGTTTGAGAAAGTACCTTTCTATTAACACCAGTAGTTTCCAAAATTTAGTGTGTATCAGAGCACCTATGGTGCTCATTTGCAAGGCAAGTTCCTAGATGACCTCCTGGAATTTTTATAAACACAGCATGTAATGAGGTGTTGGTCTAGGATAAGATACAACAGCCCATTAGCTTTACTAAGTAGCATCTTCAAATGTACACAGCTGGTTACTGAAAACAGCCTATTCAAGAAAATCAAAAATCATGAATTTTTATAATAAATTAGTAATCATTTGCTGTTTTTATCTGGCTATAAACTAAAATAATCTCAAAACTATTCCAATCCCAGAATTCTTACCTGAGAGGCTTACACATATGGTATTTAAGAGCATTTTATAAATGCAGAGAATTTTTTTGCTAATTCTGAATCTAGTAATTAAAAAGTATTTAAGCCTGCCTTTCCTGAATTGACCATTTGAGATAAAATTCATCATCCAAACTGGGATACTTCTGAAAGTGAAAGAAAGAACAACGAATAATTATGTCAAGACAACAGGCACCAATTTGAACTATCCTAAGCAAACCATACAAAGGAAAAGTGAGTCCAACTTCTTTCATGATGTCCTACTACTATTATATACTTTTATATACTCAAAACCACATTCCTAGTACAAAACAATCAATGAGTTTAGCGTGTAATCAATTTAATTGGAAGAATATTATTTAAAAGGAATAAAATACTACTTCTCTTATATGCAATGTCAACTCAAAATAGGATGGAGTTGGGAAGTACTAGAAGTGAATACCAAGTAAGGGTCAGAAGTCTGTATTCAAATGCCAAAATGCCAAGAGCTAAACTGTTGGACAAATTATTTTCCTCTTGCTTGACTCTTAGTTTCACCTATAAAGAATAATGACATCAAGTCCGGATTTACTAATGGATTAAATGAGGTACCAATCACATTTGAAGGTATCCTTTATATTTATTTTTTCTGTGGTGCTGAGTGAAGGTGTCCTTTAAAAACTGTAAAATGTTAATCACAGGGGAAAATATGAAGGAAAATAGAAGACATATCCTTTAGCAGCAGTTTCAATGATATTACTTTATACCTGCAGATTGTTTGATACACATATTGCAACATCAGATGCTCTCTGGTTCTCACTGCATCTCTGGGCACAGTAGAGTGTTCTTCTGGACCATCCTTCAGTACACAAGCATGACAGTGATAATAATTCTCTGTACTATGAAATTATACATTCAAAAAGAAAAATAATCCCATTATCTTAAGCACCTGTAGAACTAGACAGGACTTTCAGGAACACTGTTCTATTATGTACATTCTTACCATACACTGGCTGTTATGTTAAGTCATCTAGCTTTTCCTTGGAGCTAAGAATGGCAGGTCAGCACCAATCTTACAGCATGAATTTGTAAAGGAAGTATGTAATAGAGCATAAGAATATCAGGTATTGAGACTAGATTTGCCACTATCTAGTCACATAAATTGACATGCCAATAGAATGAGAGGATAGATTATAAGATTATCAAGGGCCTAAGAAGTTCTGGCACGCTGATTCCAAGACATCATCATCATTTTGTAAGTCTAGATACTCACTTCTTCTTGGATATTTTCCTTCACATTTCCCTAACCTTTTTCAAAACAGAAGAAAAAGTTTAGGCACAGTTAAACAGAAACATATGTTTAAAATAGAGATTTAAAGTAGTTTTTGGGGGGCTGGGGATGTGGCTCAAACGGTAGCGCGGCATGCGTGCAGCTGGGGTTCGATCCTTAGCACCACATACAAACAACGATGTTGTGTCTGCCAAGAACTAAAAAATAAATATTAATAAATTCCCTCTCTCTAAAAAAAAAGTAGTTTTGAGTATACTGAAGATAAAATACACAAATAAAATAGTTGCTTAAGAAACATTTATTATTTACTACATGAAAATGGAATTACATTGTAAACATAAACTAAATTTTACAAAGTAACTTGTTACATGACCATGACTTTGAAGTGCTAGATTAATTTAAAGGCCTTGTGTAATTCGAATACATTCTTGGCATTTTATGTATGATGACTGCTACCTTTTTTGAATATTTTCCCTCACATTTTCTCATTACAGAAAAATAACCATTTAGCATTCAATTACAGAAATAGATATTTTAAATAGAGATTTTAAAGTAACTTCAAAATATCTAAACTGAAATATATAGTTCAAAAAGTTGATGAGTTAGAAAACATTTATTCTTTTCCATAAATTAATGAAGTTGAGACTGTGAATGTGAGCCAAGGAACATATGAATCAAAAAGTAACTCTAAATTACTTTAATTTTGCAACTAGAGACATATACAACTCAGCATTTACACAATACTATTTTCAAAATAGTTTTTTGACTGCTAAGAATTAAAATTCTCAGTGACAAGTTTTATATATGCAATTCAGCCCAGTGGGCATCAACTTTGTCACAAGAAGCAACAACATATAAACAGTATTCCCTCTTAACCAGAAGAAGAAAATTAAGACTTTCTAAAGAGAAAATAAATCCCTTCAAAATGCAAATTATTAAGGTCCAAAGAGCATGTATACAAATGAACATAAAATCTCAATCATTCAATTTGGCAAGTGAACTAATTTGTATATTAGTACTCCTTCCCTCTTTTACCATGTCCTGATTTCTCAGAATATTTGTTCTGCACCTATTATGTAAGACATTGGGAACACAAATGTCTTGTGGTGTTCTGGCAAATGTTTAAGAACCAGCTCATGAAGGAAAGACAAGTCATTACTTACAGTATTTACCAATTTCTTCTGTATAAATACTGCCACCACGGCAGCTTTCCTTCCACCATTTGACACCTAGTTTGCAAAATTTCTGAAACTTTAACTATTATCCCTCATAAGCCATTACAAACCAGCTCCAATATACCTCTAAAATATGTACCCATGAAGAGAGTGTGAGCTGTAGCTCACACTCTCTTCATGGGTACATATTTTAGAGGACAGAAAACAATAGGAAAGAGAAATACAATTTAAATAATCCAATTAAACTTTTATAGCTAATATTTAAAAGTTAAGAGGAACACTAAAATCCATGGGATTTTTCTACTTTTCTTCTTCACTATTCTACTTTTTCTCCTAAACTTTTTTCAGGAAATTATAAGGTAGTGTACTTGTCAGAAAGTAAAGAATGAGTAGAATAAGAAGGAAGAAAGACAAGAAATCTTAAGAAATTCAGCAATATAGCTATCGTGTTTACAGGAAAAAAAAACACTTACGAAGATAAGAGCAAATATAATTTAACAAAACTCATCTTCTTTAAACCTCTTTAGTTCAGTTCACAAGTCTTGAAGATTTGTCTTGATTTCTCTGGCTGCCTCTTCAATGAGATCAGCTTGCTTCTTTAGCATAATAGGAGAGCACTGCTTCACACTACTCACACAATCAGTTCATAATAAAAGGCAGAACTAAATTCTGGAGTATGAAAACTTAGCCTCCTTTGCAGTCACCTGCCTTATATCACACCTTGGGCAACTGTCGGCTGGGGTGACCAGGAAATTCCTCTGGTAATAAAACATGGAGTCTACAGGTTGGGCATGTCCCCTGTTGCATCAACCATGGTCTAATGCACTAAGGAGCAAAAAGATTCACATCAGTCTCTTAGATTTAGTCTAGCAGAGGCAGCTGTCACTCTGTATACCAACCACATGTCTTCTGATGAACCTTAAAGCTTAAGCCTTACCCAGTGGATAACTATGTGATTTGTGATTTGCTGAGCAATATTATTTGTAACTGTAGAATACTTTTTAGCCAGTTTATTTTTATTAAGATTCTTTCCCCAACCTGTTGTCACAATAACTAGCAATTCTTCCTGACAAGAAAAATCAGGAAACTTGCTATAATATCTTTCTGGTTTACTTCATTACATATTATGCTCATATAATCCAGAAAAAGTCAAAACTAAACATACAAATTTATTAATACTTTGTATAAAATACATATTATGTTCAGAAGTTAAAATCCCTAATGATGAATAAACTCAGGTTGTCGTCTATGTTAAAATGGCAGTGATATTCAACTATAAACTATCTGTTAAGAATCTGCTTGAATACTGACTTTATAAAAACAAGTAATTTTGACCTGTATGAATAATGGAGAGCCAGGTCAGATGAGAGAGGATTAAGAATTAAGCAGTATAAATGAGGTTCACTAACCCGAATCCTAGAAAGTAACCTGAATGAATTATGTGCTTTGTATTCAACTGGCAATAACAAAGAGCAAAATAAATTTTGTTAAATATTTGCTTTTTATTATAAATTGTCAGGACTTTTAAAACTTAAAATAGGAATGTCAGGTGGCTAAGAATCTCTCTTGGAGCTCTTTTGGGATTAACTATTTTATGTATATCTCTTCATGTCAATGTAAATGCAATACATAATTTTGTGCCAGGGACTACATATTGAAATTTTGAAATGTTTTACAAACATGGCTTGAATGAGCTGGTTATTTTTCTGAGAAGCTTTTTTGTGTTAGACTATCTTTTCCCATATCAAATTACATCTCTCCACAGAGGACTTAGAATGTATATTGTATATGAATAGCACTTACATAGCAGCAACACTAGGAGTTGATTCATATAAATGCCAAAAATAAACAGGAGATATTACAGCCTTAACATTTTTCTAACATTAAAACTCAAGTCTGAGCATCTTCAAATGCAAATATAGGAGCCTGGATAGACTGTTAAGATAGGTTTATGCTTAATAATGGGGGGGGGGCAGGCATCAAAGGTATAGACAGAGTATACTATGAGGAATTTATAGCAAGTCAAGGTAAAGTGCCACTGTTGTGTTGCTAGTTTTGCCACTAAATTGTCATGTCAATCAATATTTTCTCAGAGACCTGCTTACCGTGTACCATTTAAATCTCAACGTAGTCTCTTCTCCTGTAAGGTATATGGAAATATGAGAAAGCACAGCGTAGACATTGTAAGAAGAGGAGAAAAGTATAAATGTTTCTGTGTGGTACCCAAATGTGAAGTTCAGAGTTATACCTAGTGGAGCTTGTAACAGGAAGATGATGCATGTATATGATTTTAAATAAGGTAATATGAATCTCCCTTAGCTGATTAAAGGGTTACCTGAGAGTGGAATTTGTGAGCACAAGGCAAAACTGAAAGGTTTTCTGGAGAAAGATTCTCATGACAGATTACACAAGGTTCCTCTTCTTCCTCCTCATTATCCTATGGAAAAATAAATATGTTAAATTTGGCCTATTTGTTTCTCCTGAAAACACAAATGTGTTCGTTAAGTGTTTCAACAATTCAATAATTTCAGTCTCACCAAATTATTTGCTCCTTCCCATGTGGCAGAACTTTGTGAACTGAGGGGTTTCCAAGCTGGTTTGGGGGTCTGGGGAGCACTAGACTGTGATGAGGTATGACTGGGTGAAGCACAATTGCCATTTGGTACTGATTTTCCTTGACTCTGAAAATAAGAATATTATATTGATAGTTTAGAAATGTTCTAAAACAGCATAAACTTATAGAATTTCAGACAATGGGGTGGAAGAAGAATTAGCAAAAGGGTAAATAATCAGATTCATGAGGAATCTTGACACAAAATGTTGACAATACTTGTCAGAGTTTGGTGAAGACAAAAATAACTCTATATGTTCTTTTCATTAAAATAATCCTTACCAAAAAATTTTAACAAATAAATTAAATAATCCTTACAGAAAATTGAGGAACAAAGTCACCATTTAGAATCATTCAAAGTAACCTAGAGAAAATTTCAAGAGGGTCAGTTTTATTCTAGAATGATCTGGTGAAAGGTATTTCAATTTGTCCATTCAAGGATATTTGTTTTTTCAAGTAGAAGTTATTAAATTATTTACTGTTAATCAATTATTTGCTATATGACTAGAGGTTATCAATTTTATTAGCATGCTATGGAAATAGTTAAAATAACCAACTATTAGAGAGATGCAAGCAGAAAGATATGAAATAATAATTGAATCTGGGGCCTCATGTATCTAATCAAGCACTCTACCACCGAGTTATATAAACCCCTAGCCTGAGATATAGCTTTTTACCTGTGATTTCTTGGGATCAATAAATTGGGAAATTTTGTAAACAATTTCATCAAATGTCAGCCCAGATAAGGTCTTCCCATGAGAATCCTTCAATTTTCGTAAGAAATCTGTAAGTTCCTTTCTGAAAGAGATGAAAGAAAGAGAAGTGGTGATTTTCCCTACTGACTTGAGGATATACCCTCCAAATGAGACATAAAACCCTGTTACATAATATGTATGTAGAATACAAATGTAACCCTTCTGGTTTCTGATTATAGGTCCATCTGCAATTATATTAAGCCAAAATGAAAACACCTAATTCTGTTTAATAATGATGTTTAATGTTTTCATTAGTGATAAAATTTAGTATTTATTTTCTTTCCAAAAAAGAGATTATAACCTTTTTTGAGAGCTCATTATATAAAAATTGAGTTTACTTATTTGTGTACTTAAGTTTTTATATTTTTCTCTCAAACTTCCCTTATGACTAAAATATTCCTTTTACCTAGGTTGTTAGTGTTTTCTTTCTTATTTATCTGTTAAGAGTTAACTTTTTAAAATTCGTAGAGAAAAATAAAAAATTACTTGGAATAGAAAAGCAAAAATTAAAAACCACATTTTTTGATAAAGGAACCTACAATTGTTTTAATCATTATGCTCCTTTTCAATTCCCAAAGTCCACTGAGCCTACAACTACATTTTTGGTGAAAGAGAGGATCAAATATTTTTCTCCTTCAAATGAAGAGTAGTATAATTAGCCTTATATATTTACCTTTCATTTATAATTTATTCATTTTATATTTATCTATTTATAACAACTCTGTATATTTTTCACTTTTATTTTATTATTATGAATTATAAACTTATCATCGAATCCAAATGGCATCAGTAGGCATAGTAAAGTATTAGTTTTTGAATGAAAATATTGGTAAAAACTCAAATTACATCCTTGGGTACAAGAAATAAAAAAAAACTTCATTTGTTTAGGAGAATTAAATATTCTTCTGCCAAAGTCAGACTATAGAAAAAAAGAGCACAATAAAATCATGATTTCTTGCACTTAACTGTTTTTCCTAACAAAGAAATTATAAGAATCCTCAATAAAATTAAGAAAATAGGGAACTATAACCCGATGATGTTTGGGCTTATTTAGCATACAATTAACTTAAAAGCCCCTTTGAAAATAGGTTATCAAGGTAAATATTGCAGCTGGTAGCATTAAAATTTGATCGGTTACCACTACTTATACTCTCAGTAAATGAGCAAACCTAAATTTAAAATGTTATTTTCTCATAATTAAAGTCTAATAATATTAGTGAAGAAGTTTAGCATTTCTGTTGAATACTATCCTTTCTTGGTAAATTTCATTTTCCTTACCAAGACCATGGTAAAGAATTATTTATATTTCTCTGTGAATTTTATGTTTCTCTGAAAAGTTTCACTGTCACAGTTATGGCTATGGAAACTGTATAATATGATCTCAAGCACTAAATAAAAACTGAGGTACCTGGTTTGTTGTGGGAAAGCAGTTTTCAGCCTGTCTGTAATCCTCTCCAAATTCATCAGGGAAGGATCATTTCCCAGACCTGTACCAGGAGGCACAGTCTCTCCCACAGGAGCTGGCATAGTCCAGGCTATGCCAGTCATCTGTAAGGAGCAGAAAGTTATAACCCATTAGTTTTAACTGGTACAATTCCATGCCAACATGACACTTACATACTTCAGAAAATGACTACAATGAAGAATAACACTGATACTCACATTCCCTTTTCAGAGATCCTTTAAACTAGTGCAACAACATTTCTAATTTGTTACCTAACTATTTATTATAAAATAAGACATGCTTGCCTCAGTAATTATAAACATGTACATAAATGCACAGTGTTTTTGGTGTATTTTTTATAATAGTGGAAAACTGAAAACAACCAAAAGACTGTAAAGAAGAGAATGACTAAGTTATGGTAGATCTAATTAAGTAACTAAAAGAAAATCTAGATTATGGAGCATGAATGATGTCCATGAAATACATCTAGTTTTCTGCCATAAAGTATTTTCTTGTAACATTAAAAATTTTTTTAAATGTCTAAGCATATGCACATACAGAAAAAGTTTAAGAAGTCATAAAAAAATTAGCAACTGTTAACAGTCACTGGAATAACTTGAATAAAGTCTTATAAGTAAGAAACAGAATACTGCTCAGAAAATTTGCCTCAGTATTAGCCTTTCCCTTAGCAATCAGAAAATAATATTAATAGAAAGTTAAGGTATTTCAATGTTTTCAAGAAAATTTTATTATAATTTCATATACATATACACATAATTACTTAGAACATACAAAAAAGTTATAATTTTTTTCATTAATTACATGTAACATCATTCTTTTTGAGAAAGATTCTCTTTTAATCAAATAAAATTTTACTTTAGCCAAGACAACAAATAATTCTAGTAATTTTAATTTATTACTTCTTCAGGCTTAGATAAAGCTTATCTGACTATTGGTAGGTAGGAAGATTTGTTACTTGAAAGCATATATTGCAAGGTGGTGGTACTTATATTGTTTGTTTATAGATATAGTTAAAGTACTCCTAAGTGTTATATAGTACATGCGTGTATAAATTTTTTCTTTAGCTTCATGGCATAATTTAGTTTGGAGTGATTCGGCTTCTTTGCTTTTCATTCCACCCAACAAACATGCTAAAAATAAATTATCTATTATAAATACCAATCTACTAAGCATTGTTGCCTGTTACAAAAGTAAAATTGTAAATGTGATGACTCTTATTCAAAAACCAAGCCAGATGCAGTGGCGCACTGCTGTAATCCCAGTGGCTCATGCCTGTAATCTCAGTGGCTCGGGAGACTGAGGAAGGAGGATTGGGAGTTCAAAGCCAGCCTCAGTAACATAGCGAGGCCCTAAGCAATTCAGTGAGACCCTGTGTCTAAATAAAATACAAAAACCAAAAAGGAGCTGGGGATGTGGCTCTGTGGTTAAACACCCTAGTATCCCCTTTATCTAATCACTGCCTCCAAAACCAAACTGTCAGTTGATAAAAAAACTAATTGAAGAAGCCCATAATAGTGATAAACAACTAATTAATATCTATTTCACCAAGAAAGACTTACCAGGGGGGTTCTAGGTTGGCCTGCTGTAGAGATGACACCAGAGCAAACTGGTGGCATTTGAGGAACAGTAAGTATGGGTCTGAAGAATGATTCTTTCACAAGGGGTCTTCCCAAGAACTGCTGCATCTAAAAGAGAAAATTTAAAAAATTAAAAAAAAAACTATACACATTTATATATTTATACAGGCAATGATTTAAATTCATAGAGCAATATAAAGATAAACAGGGCTGGGAATGTGGCTCAGGCGGTAGCGCGCTCGTCTGGCATGCGGGCGGCCCGGGTTCGATCCTCAGCACCACATACCAACAAAGATGTTGTGTCTGCAGAGAACTAAAAAATAAATATTAAAAATTCTCTCTCTCTCTCTCTCTCTCTCTCTCCCCCCTCTCTCTCTTTAAAAAAAAAATATAAAGATAAACATGTTGAAGTTCAGATACAAAATATACCAGAAGCAATATGTTATAGTTTGGATCTTAAATGTCCCACAAAGACCCATGTGTTAAAGGCCTGGTTGCCTGCTGCAGCACTATTGAGAGGTGGTAGAACCTTTAAGGGATGAGGCCTACTGGAAAGAAGTTAGGTCACAGAGTAGAGATAAGGGTGTGTCCCTGAAGAGTATATTGGGACCCTGGCCACTTTCGCTCTCTGTTTCCCAGGGGCCATGAGGTGGAAAGCTTCCTCATCCATTCACTCACCACCATGATGTACTGCTTTGCCAAAGTCATTAAGCCAAATGGTCAAGTAACCATGAACTGAAACCTGTGAATGTGTGAGCCAAAACAAATCTTTCCTCCTTTTGTTTATCTTGGATATTTTATCATAGTGACAGAAAACTGCCTAAGAAACAATGTATGTTAGAATATTTGTTAAATATATAAATATCTCGTGTGGTGAGATATATTGGGAAGAACATTGAGAGTCAGAAAAGAGAACTGGGTTTTATTTCCACTTTCTCTCGATCTAGCTTAACCTTGAATGCCAATTTCCTAGTCTATACAATAAGAAAGATGGGTTTGGTGATCTTTAAGGTTCCTTCCCACTTGTATAATATAGGACTATGTAAAGGAGGTTCTTGGTGAGTGCTGGTCATGTTGGCTGTTAGTATTGTTATATTGTTATGCTGAAATTTCATAAAAGAACTCAAAAAGTTATCCACAGAAAATATTGCTTTTTTTGGTTATGTATTAAAGATACCACCTAATGGATGCACAGCTTCATGTTTAGCACCAGGAGGAATAGAAGAACAAAGGAGGGTAGATCTGGAAGATAAATCCTCTACAGTGACTTCCAGATGTCTATGAGTGTCATTGTATTTACTAGGGATTTGGGGAAACCTGAACCTTTTTAGCAGCTCTCAATGAGAGAGAAAACTTGTTGGAGTACAAAAGAAGACAGATTTATTGAGCAACTATCATGTGCCAGGACTAGCTTTGCACAAAGCATTAAATAGGCATTCTACTGTTTTGCTGAAGTAAAAAAAAAAAAAAAATTAACATAACTTTAAAAAATGATCCTAAAACTGGCAAATGAAAAGCTAAAGGAGAGCGTTATAACTGATTGGGTTGATACTTGGTTTTTAATACCACTAAAGGACAGACATTATATATCTTATAGGTAAAAAAGAAAACATTTCTGAAACATATGGTGGAATGCAAATTTGAATTGGATACTGGGTATTAAAAATTACTTATAATTTGCTTAGGTAAGATAATGGTGTTTATGAATATATCCAATGAGAATTCATCATCTTTTAGGGTATAACTTAAAGTATAAATGAATAAAATTATATGATGTCTTGGGTTTGCTTCCTCTTAGGGAGGAGAGGAAGAAGGGGTGACATAAAACAATGCTGATAATATTGAAGCTTGCTCTTGGGATTGCAGAAGATTGTTATAATATTTTTATGTAAGTTTCAAATTTTTCATAAGTTTTTAAATAATAAATTAATGGTGGGTAACTGAGTTAACAGTATGCTCTCTTTAAGAACCAGTTACCTAACAATTCTTTGAGAATTAAAAAGCCAGGGTACATGAGTCAAGATATAACGAAACACACACACGTACACTGGGAATAATTCACATTATCATAGACTTCGCAGGTAGATTTCTATAACTTTGAAGTCTAGTGATCATTTCTTGAACACTAGAACTTCAGAGATGGGTGGGAATTTAGTGATCAGATCATCTAGGACAATTTCCTAATTTATTAATGGGAAAACCCAGAAAACCAAAGTCCAGGACAGCTGATTTGACCAATAGCTCTTCATACAGTGAGGACCTAAACCCAGTTCCCTTTAGTGTACTTGTCTTGTATAATACCACCTCAATTTATACAAATAACATTAACATTTCTAGTATTTGTTCTCTCAAAAGTATTTTGTTGCTGCTCAATGGCCAATAGTGCTTGCATTTTTACACAACTGTGAGCTGGGTTAGTAAGTACAGAAGATATATATATGTGTACCCCTCAGACCATTAACAAAGGATGCTTATAAATTGCCATTGAGCCTAACTGCCAGTGGATTATGCCCTTTATTAAAACTGGGTAAGCCATAAAGATAGTCTCTAACAGCATAAAGATCTAGAGGGTGTGGGGGTCAAGATTTCACTGTTTTCTAGTTGTAGAGTATCACAGGTATCTTCCAGTCAAGGCTGATGCTGGTTTCATTCCAGAAAACTCTTTAAAGAATTCTATTCAGCGTCTCAGTTTGTGGAGCCCCTTTATCATGGGGAAGTTTGATTACAGCCTATAAGCAATATTTTTAATATGGGCAGAAGGTATTATAAGATTTTTGGAAATCCTACCCAAAATATGAGTTGCTTCTTGTAATAGATAATCTTTGAAATTTCTGTCAGCTACTTCCTTCTCAGGGTACTTGGTATTGATGATGTGCTAACTCTAGAACAACAATGTTCATAAAACATTGTTCCTGTAGAAACTGAACTGACCAAAATTATAAAAGGCAATACTATTATTCTAAACTAAAGCTCATGGTGTATATCATAAAGTTCTTTTAGTTTTGGATTCTGCTTTCAAAATGCACAGTGTTAACTCCATACAACTCACATAATTTTTAAGTTGTTATATTCAACCATGAGTTCTACTACAAGCAGTTGAGTGCTGATATCAATAGTCATCTGCTTCCAAGAATCTTATACCTTTCTTCTTTTACTATGACCAGTTCTATTAAGATTATAAAAAATTATTACCTAATGCTATCATCCTAAAAGTTCTTTTGAAAACCTGTGAGAATTCACTGGATGTGAAGGTACAGAAATACGTATATGGTGTATCTGGTTAGATTCATTGTCCCGTAAGGAACAGGGAATGGGAATAAGTGTAAGCTGTCCTTGCATTGAAAATAAACTAGAATATAAAAGTTAAAGAAAAGAGAGTCTAATGTAGAAATAGAGAGGAGTGAATCCTTAGTAAATGCTTTCTAGGGAATGTTACTGAAATATTTCAGTTATTCTGTAGTAACATGAAGGAACCAGGAATTCTGAGTATTCATCAGGTATCTCCTACAACAGAGGTGAGATTGAGGATGAGAAAATATTACTCTTTAGATTGCAAACAAATCACTAAATTCCAATAGAACCCTACTGCACTGGCTTCAATTGAGTCAGCCAGTTTTATATCATTTGGAAATTATCATCTGTTAATTATATTAGTAGATATGGAGATAATTGCAACATCAAACATACTGCATAATCAGTGTTTTACATCCTTATATTATCAAAAATAAACTGGCAATTTTCTAAAATGTCATATTTCTTACCAATATTTCAGGACTGGGTGGTGGTGGAGGAAGCTGAACTGGAGGCAAGGAACTCAAGGCAAACCCTTGCTTCACCTTACTAATTTGCTCATTGTACTGTGTCTGGTGGAAGAGAAAAGATATTTTAAAGCACAATCAACTTCAAAGAAATAATATACTTGATATAGTTTTGAATAATCCAACAGAATAGTAGCTCTCAACCCAGTGATGGAAAGAATATAAAAACATAAGATCAATGCTATAAACCACTATCCCCACTGTAAATACTATATTTTTTAGATGTGTTTGTTGACTGACAAGAAACAGTGACACATAATTCACAGTTCCTTGTATAACTCCTTGTTTCTGTAAGTTTAAGTGCCAAGTAGGAATCACTGAAATAAAGTATAGAAAGAATCTAAGTCAGAGGAGTCAAGTAATACACAGGAAAACAAGCATTTTTAACAAAGAGCTAAACTACTTACAAATGTTCATTTTTAAAAACTAAAGGGAAAACTTTGGGAATACTGATTAAATGTCCACATTTTGTTTATCTCAAAAAGTATATACCTTTAGCTTGCTCTTACTCTACATGTATTTTATTCTTTTAGATTTTGCCAAAAATGAAACTTCAATCCTGGAGGCTTATCATTATGTTTTCAACATTCTGGGCCACTCTCTCCATCTTGCTTTACAATATTATTTGGCAAACAACCCACAAAAGCAGAAAAAGAAAGTCTTATAAAACAAAACATTTAGAAGTTTCCACACAGGATGTGTGCTTGGAAGAAAATAAAGACAGAGAAAAAATTGACAGCTCTTTAGACACCAATAGATATGCTAAAGACACACTAAAGACTGAGTAAAGAAGAGTCTGGGGAAAAACAGTCAAAACCACCAAGGAAGAAACTGTACAAGTCTATATATAGTCTTTGAGGTAGTTCCTCACAACTGAGCACCAATACTTTCTTGCTTTGTTGTAAAACAATCAACATTATGTATCAACTTTACAGATATAAAGATTCTAAAACCAAAAAAAAAAAAGATTCTAAAATTAAATTAATTACTAAGTATTTATTGAATTGCTTCTTTAGATTACCTTTCCCCTTATCCCAATTCAAGCAAATCATTGATTAAGAATTAGTTTGCATTATGGAATAATTATATACAAAGTTAAAACTGAAAATGAGTACAGGCCTATTTGATCTTTCTTTTAAGTTGAGCATATTATTACTTAAAGCTAGTTAAGGCACTTATTTTTGAAGGGGTAGCATTAGCTTTGGAATTTCAGGGAAACCAGGTATAAGGGACAAGTTTTGAGTTTATCATTACCTAGACTAAGGATCTAAAGGCCACATGTATGAATCTAGAATGTTCTCTACTATCAAATACATGAAAGTAATCTCAATCTGAAAGCTTAAACTTTGGTATCTGAAAAAACAAAATAACAACAAAAACAACAAAAAATGCTCTTCCCTAAATTTCTGTAATTGCTTTTATTTTAGATGTCTTGTTTAACAATCAGCCAATTTGCTCAAAATATATTTCAGGACTTACCCTGAGAAATGCAATCTTGTTTCTAACATCCGTCACAATGGCATTCCAACTATCTACTGCAGCCTTTAATTGAAGTGATTCTAGGTTGCTGGTGTAAACAAAGAAACACAGAGAAAATTCTTTTTATATAACACCTAGGCTTCTGCAAATTTCCGTTATGTTCTCTAGCATACATGTAAATAACATATAACTATAAAATTACTTCTATCACCAATAATTCCCTTAAATTAGGTCAAAGGTGTGTATGGAAGAGTTTGTTATTAAAAATAAAAACAAAACTAATAATATATATAAATTGTTTTTTCAAAAGAAAATCAACCTTAGTCTTCCAGAATGCCAGTTTTTTTCTAACTTGGTGATATTTTAGAGACCATATTATAAAACCTTTGCATAGGAATATTTCCAGTGAAGTAGGGAAGCTATATGGAAATTGCCTTAGTCATTTACTACAGGAGCATTTTAAAAAATGTTGACCCATCTTAGAAGAAGGTTTTGGTCCATCTTCACATTAACTCTGACATCATAGAGCCAGAGCTGGCTTACCTGGTTCCTCTGTAAATTAAAAAAAGATACTGCCTTTGGCAGGGCAAATTAGAAACAAATACCTTTTTGATGAGGATGAATGAGATTACTTTGTGCATTGCATAAACTGTACAAACACAGTAGCTTTGTCAAGCCATGTCCAACAAATAATTAAGTTTGAACAATTCTGAATCTTCAGGTCTGTCATCTTTAGAAGGGACTTCATGTGGAAGTCTAAAATGTCTATCTTTTGTAACACCGTCATACTTGTATTACCAAACTCAAAAATTTTAAAAGAGCAGAATTAGTTTTCACTAAGATCATCTCATAGAAAGAGGCCTCATAATATTTTCATTTATACTGCATTCTTTCTCTCTCTAGCAAGCAAAGGAAGACCAATCACTTACAACAGTACTTCCTAAACTTGAATGCCCATCAATACATCCTGGGAATCTTGCTAAACATCAGAGATTCTGATTTTTGGAAGAATAATAATTATTAAAATGCTAATCATTAAAAAATTAAGGATGTCTTGATTACAAAGATTCTTTTTAAATTAAATGTTTAATGTCAAAGGTACACCCCATAAGATTAAAAATTTAAGGAAAATTTCATTCAACTTGCTCAATATTTGAAAACTACTCTTACATAACATAGTAAGAAACTGCCCTTAGCATGTGATTTTAGGTGTTAATACTGATTTTCCCTCAAGGTAGCCTAATAGCATTTGATATAAGCATTATTAATAGAGACACTTAGATATGAGCTTGCAGAAAAAATCTTTAAGTGTCTAACTGAATACTCACTACTCAATGAAGTTTCATTATGTATGTATAACAGATGTATTTATGTTCAGGTAAAACTTGTACATGTCCTCAATATATAGCATTGTTTGATAATACTGTGAGAGTAAAGTTATTTACTTCTCATATAAAAAATAAATAAAAACAAGGATTATTAGGGAAAACAACTAGAAAAAAAGTTTTCCAATTGACTGAGACTTCTGATATATTTCACTGTGGAGGAAAGAAAAAATCTTTCCACAGCTATTACTGTACTCAGTGCTTCAGCAGAGGCAACAAAAAGTACAGCCATCAAAGTGACTAAATAACTTCTGAAATATATGTGTGTGTGTGTGTGTGTGTGGCTACCTTACTCCAAAGATTCTGGTATACTCTACGTGAAATACATTGTAGATTACGTTCAACCTTGAAGACATTTGTGAACCTCAAAGATCAAGATGCATTCATTATGAGGAAAAGGTTACCTTGCAGCCATGTGAGTCACTCTGGCAAGCTGATTGAGACACTCCTTTTCAGTCTGCTCCAGATGAAGCAAACCAAAATCTCTACGACACTGCAAGAAATACACCTATGGATTTTGACAGAAAAAGAAAGAAATTGAAGGTGTCCTTCTTGTAAGTGAATATTGGCTCAAGTAAATTTTAAGCTATTTTTCAATCTCTCCCAATAGCACCTGAACTTCTTGATCATTCAAGATACACTTTAAATATTTTTGATCGAATGTAATCCTATAATTCTAATGCTCATATTCAATGGTTACTGCTAGTAAACATTCCAAGAATGTTACTTTTCAAACTTGCACACATACTGGTATAATTTTTGAAACTTCAAAAAAATGATGCTTTGGTCCCAGAGATTCCAGTTTAATTGATAACAGGATTAACCTGAGCATTAGGATAATAACTTGGGTAATCATAATAGGCAGCAAAATTTTAGAACACTCAAAAGAAGTCCTGCTACTTTTTTCCCTTGATGAATAGGCAAATAATGAATCAGACCACACAGAAAGATAACAGTCTAAAGGGCCTTGGAGTTTCTCCGATATCAGAAATCCTTTCGAAGTCATAACTGATACACAATCACTTAGCCTCTGTTTTTAACTACTCATCACACAATATTCACTACAAATTGTACTATTGGACAGCATTGTTACTAAGTCCTTCCTTTTTAAAATTAATAGTGGAAGCAGAAATAAATTTTTGATTAAAGTAGTAAAAAAAAGAAGAATACAAGCTTGAGCTTTTAAGGTTATGTGGACTTTTTCTTTTGTTAATGCTAGTACTTCAAAACCACTTCCACAGATTTTGAGTTCAGATATACTCCTTGGTTCTTGAATTCTGGAATCCCAAGTACTCTGCTAGAAAATAGAGCTTAACAATGACAGAGGTGGGAAGGTTTGTAATGCTTTTAATGTCAGCAAACTCTCCAAAAATGTGAATCTTATTGTATATCAAGTTTGGTTATCTATAAATAAAAATTACATATACATATACAATTATATTTCTTTTGAGAGATACTAGCTATGGTGTTATAAGGTAACTTAGAAGAAATTGTGTAACTTTCTAGGGGCCTGGAAAGTAAGTTCATTTTTGACTCTGGGGTATACAATGTATATGGAAAGTGGCAAAGAAAAGAAATATTATGGCAGCAGTGAAATGTTATTTTTTTAAAATTAGTTTATTTATCCTAGTTAGGTATATATGATAGCAGAATGCATTTTGAATCACTGTACACATTGCAGCACAACTTTTCATTTCTCTGATTGTACACGATGCAGTATCATACCATATGTGCAATCATACATGTACCTAGGATAATGAGTCCATCTCGTTCCACCATCTTTCCTGCCCCAATACTCCCTCCTCTCCTCTCCCAATCACAGTTCTTCCATTTTACCATGCCCCCCTCCCATTATGGATCAGTATCCATATCAGAGAGAACATTCGGCCTTTGGTTTTTAGGTATTGGCTTATTTTTAAAGTTTGGCTTAGTGATCTGACTTCATGAAAATTTCCCCAAGGTTTATGTATTTCCTGTACAATACCACAACACAATGATTTCTTGGAATCACTGAAGTAAAACAACATGTGATCATAAACACTTAAGTACTCATATGCAGTATTCCAGTGAGTCAAAAAAACATGAGTTTAAGCTGTGTTTTCCTTCTTAGTACTAAAATATCTTATTTTGGATTATTCAAAACCAGTCTTTTTTCATTCTTTAGGATACCAGTATTACACAAGTAAAACACCCTCCCTCACTCTTTATATATATATATATATATTTTTTTTTTACCTCAGCTGTTAAGGCTCTGCTAGTTTCTGCATTCACCTTGCTTAAGTATGTTTTAATTGTGCTTTCCAGATTAAGCTTCTCCATTTCCCACTGGGATCTGAAATATATGATCATTAAAGAGTTATCAACATTATAGCAAGAACCACCTTTTTCATCTTATTAAGGAGGAAGAAAAATATAAACTATACATGAGTAGAAAATGATTTTTTGGAAAATTATATAACACGTGAGAACAAGAGAAGACATTGCTCAACCCCTACTGTTATCCTTTAGTATCAAGAGTGCAGAAGTTTAAAGTTGTCAGTATATGGGTTATTATCTAAGACTTGGTTCTAAAATCAAGTTGTCTTAGGATGAATCTTAGCTCTACAACTTACTAAATGTAAAGTCTTGCTTGAATACAATGGACTGAATGTTTATACCCCCATTAAAATCCTAACCTGCAAGATGGAAACAGTGTCTTTCTGTGTTAATGAGGTTATGAAGTAAAACCCTTATGAAAAGGATTAGTATCCTTATAAAAGAGGTTTGAATGAACTGACATTCCCTTTCTGCCATGTAGGGTGACAGTGAGAAGATGGCTGTCTATTGAGGAAGCAAATCCTTACCAGATACCAAACTGACCAGTGCCGTAATCTTGGACTTTCCAGCCTCCAGGACTATGAGAAATACATTTCTGTTGTTCATAAGCTACTTAGTCAATGGTATTTTTTTTAACAGCTCAAAGTAAGACAGCAAGTTACTTAACTTTTCTATACCTCATTTTCCTCACAGGTAAAAAGAAAGTTGTATTATCTTTAAAAATAGCTGTTGTGAAAATTCATTCAGACAATATACATAAAGCACTTTGTGTTTGGCACATACATACTAAATAAATGTTAGCCACTATCTTTGTTAATAAATTTTACATCAAGTTTCCATAAACCCTTTTGTATCCTAACAATACAATAAAACCACAACAGTTTTCATTATTATTGTCATAAAATATTTTACTGGTTTTATCAGTGTTCTCATTTCATACCTTAAAATAAGAGCAAGTTCTACATAGCTTGAGGAAGGAGAAACATAAAGGTCAGGACATTGTTTATACAATGGAAAATGGCTTCCTATAATATTTCTTTCTTTTTTTCCTATCCCTTCTCAGCTTCCTATACTTGAGTCCCAAAATTCAATAGTATATACAAACCAAACTCTGTGTGTGTGTGTGTGTGTGTGTGTGTGTATGTTTTATACCAAGAATTGAATCCATGGGTACTCAAGTCACATCTTCAGCCTGTTTTATATTTTACTTTTGAGACTGGGTCTCACTAAGTTGTTAGAGCCTTGCTAAGTTGCTCAGACTGGCCTTGAACTTTCGATCCTCCTGCTTTAGACTCCCAAGTTGCTAGGATTACTGGCATCACCACAACCAGATACCTTTAATGAAAATGATCAATCAAAAATACAACATTGGGGCTGGGGATGTGGCTCGAGCGGTAGTGCGCTCGCCTGGCATGCGTGTGGCCCGGGTTCGATCCTCAGCACCACATACCAACAAAGATGTTGTGTCCGCTGAGAACTAAAAAATAGATATTAAAAATTCTCTCTCTCTCTCTCTCTCCTCTCTCTCTCTCTCTTAAAAACAAAACAAAACAAAACAAAAACATAAAAATACAACATTGTAACAGGGACTGTCACAAAACCATTCTCAAGGTTTTACTATTAGAAGCACTAAAAAGCTCAAGTGCCTGACAAATATTGATAAGACGCTTGACAATAATACTATTAATACCATTAAGGCCAGAGTTTTTTGAGGAGAAAATAAAAACCACAAAATACTCAAATAGACAAATTAACACAATAGAAATGATTATGCAATTAAATATTGTGCAAAATTTGCTTTAAAGAAAAAATTGTACTTCATCAAAAAAATTTTTGACTTAAATGATATCCTAAAAAAAAATGAAGATTACCCACAGAATGGAAGAGTATCCTTCAAAGAAACTTGTATCCACAAAATATAAGAAATTCCTAAAACTTAATAATAAAAAGACAATCAAATTTAAAAATAGGCAAAGAAGGCAAGTAAAAATTTTTCCAAGAAGATAGATGACTAAAAAGCACATGAGAAGAGCTGGGGTTGTGGCTCAGTAGTGCGGAGTTTGCCTAGTGTTATGGGCCAGACTATATAGGCAATGACCAAACAGACTCCATTTTTACCCTGAGACTCCATGTCATGTAAGAAATGCTTCTTCCATGAAAAAACTCTGCCTCTGCCATCCTGATCCTGCTTAGCACACCCTGCTTAGAAATGCAAATGTTTCTGATCTTCTTATACAATGTAAAATTATTCCTTTTTTTGGTTTCCATTTTTCTTGGTAAATGTACCCTATCAGAGAATGATTGTCTAGACGTTAATAACTATTCTTTAAACTGTACATAACCAGTGTTGTTTTGATCTACTTCTCCTTCTGCTTATGATTTTAGATCTCATGATTTTTATTTATAGTTTTGAATCATAGCAACAGCTATTTATAATTAATGTACTGACATGATTTACTTGTGGTTTTGGATTATAAAAAGTGTGCTCTAACCCTTAAAGGGGGTTGAAGGGTGTAGACTTGCAGTCTGCCCCTTGGCCCGCCAGCTGGTGTTCCATCTCCTGCTTTGAGATTGACTTGGTGACTTATTACAATCTCACCATAACAGTAGCATGTGAGAGGCATTGTGTACGATCCTCAGCACCATATAAAAATAAATAAATAAAATAAAGGTATTGTGTCCATCTACACTAAAAAAAAAAACGAGAAAATGTTAAACATAATTAATCACTAGAGAAATGCATAATGACATAGTGCTTCAAACAACACAGGTAAAATAAATACAGATAGATAACAAGTGTAGTAAGAATGTAGAAAAATCAAAATTCTATATATAGTTACTTTGACTATAAAAATGGTGCTGCTACTTGGAAGATAGTTTGGTAGGTCTTCAAAAAGTTAAACATTGCCAGGCATGGTGGTTGCATAACTGTAATTCTAGTGACTTTGGAGGCTGAGGTAAGAGGAATGCAAATTTGAAACTGGCCTCAGCAATTTAGTGAGACCCGAATTAAAAAAAAAAAAAAATGCTGAGGATATGTACCAGGATCTAATTCCCAGTACCAAAAAGAACAAAAAGTTAAACGTAAAGTTTACTGATAACCCAGAAGTTCTTCTCCTTAGTATATATTCAAAAGACAGAAAAACATTCACAAAATCTTTCTGTATAAATGCCATCAGTATTCACAATATTGTACATAAAAACCAAAAACTTGGTAAAAAGACAAATTTCCAACAAATTAATGAAAAGATAAAATGTGTTATATTTATAGAATATTATATATTCATAAAAAAGAATGAGAACTGATATATGCTACAACATGGATTTTGAAAACATTATGTTAAGAACTTAATTGCAAGGGGCCACATGTTATGATTAATTTACATAAAATGTCCATAACAGGCAAATCCCATAAAGAAAAAAGGTAAATTAGTGTTTGCCACAGCTAGAGGAGAAGAGAAGGGGGAATGACTTAATGGGTACAAGGTTTCTTTTGGGAGGTGATAAAAATGTTCTGTTAAAAAGGCAGTGGTGATGGCTGTATACCTCTACAAATATACTAAGAAACCAACAAACAACTTTCATATCCTCAGTCTTTTTCATTTTTTATTTTGAGATAAGTTCTTGCTATGTTGTCTAGGTTGGCCTCAAACTTAGGATCCTCCTAACTCAGGAGGCTGAGACAGGAGAATTATTATTATTATTACTGGGATTATAGGCATATGCCATGTCTTGCCCAAACTGTACATTTTAACAAGGTGAATTTTATGCTATATGAATTAGATCTCAAAAAAGCTGTTCCAAAAAATTTTACCTACAAACAATAGGTGAATGAGAATAAAACTTGGCTAATTTCACAAAGCAGTCACAACCAGTAGTATTAATTAGGGTAAAAAAAAAAATAACTCTAAAGTTTTAGTCTGAGGCAATAGTTTGTTGTAGGCCTATAACATTGCTGAGTCACTCTCTCTCATCATTTTTTTCAGGATCAGACCTCCCAAATTGCTTAGCACACTTCCAATTTACATCTATTGTCCCAATGTAATTACTGATGCTGCTAAGTATCATGCTCAAAAGTACCCAGTTTGGCCACATGTGGTGGTGCATATCTGTAATCCCAGCAACTTGGTAGGCTGAGGCAGGAGGATCCTGAGTTCAAGGCCAGTCTCAGCAATTTAGTGAAGCCGTAAGCAACTTAGCAAGACTCTATCTCAAAATAAAATGTAAAAAAGACTGGGGATATGACTCAGTGGTTAACAGCCCCTGGGCTCAATCCTTAGTACCCCTCCAAAAAAGACAAGTACCCAATTTGGATGACACATTATATGACCACCCTATCCATAACATGTAGAGAGAAATAAGGAGTTTCAGAAAGGGCATACCAACCAAAGAAAAAGCTAAGTTTGTACCTTTTCATGGAAAGTTGCTCTTTAAGGTTCTTGATTTCATTATCTTTAGCATGGATTTGACGTTGTAATCTAGAATAAGAAAGTAAATCATATAACATTAGAAATTTTCGCCTTTCCCCAGTCAGAATAGCTCTACCTGTAGCCAAAGAGGGGACCAACTAACTATGTCTGATTGCACTGGGAGACTCCAGGAAATGCCTAGGATTAAGATACTCTGGGTGTGTCTATGACAATATTTATAAAAACCACTAGCATGTGGGTGGGACAGTAAACTATGGGGGAAGACCTGCCCTGAATATGGTTGGCACTGTCCAATCAGTTGAGGATTCAGATGGAATAAAGGTGGAAGAAGAAAGCTGCAGTAGATGAAAGCTCTTTTTTTTTTTTCTTTTGAGCAGGTACATCTATGACTGCTGTCATTGCCAGTGGACATGACACCATCCTCCTTCATTCTTCCAATGTGGACTCTCAACAGATATTCTCCAGAAGTCCCTAGGCCTCATTCGCAGACTGGGACTGCATCATTGGTCATCTGGCTTTCCAGTGCACAGATACACATTTAGAGACTAGTCAGCATCTGATTGTGTAAGACAATGTAATAAGTCCCCTTTTATAATCATTAATATAAATATCCTGTTGGCTCTGTACATTTAGAGAATCCTAATACAACTTCTACACCTGGTCCTTTTGAACTTAACTGATTTCTGAGTCTGATTTACTGACTTCTCAAAAAAAGGAGAATTATGTACTAACCCAGTACATTAGAAAGCCACAGAAAAGTGTTATCTTGTATCTCAGCTCAATGATTTGGAAACAGTTTACCCATTAGACTTTACCCACTAGAAAACAGGGATAGTATCATCTTTTTTTCTAAAATGGTTGTGGGATTCAGAACTTTAGTTCCTTAACGAGATTGTTGTATCGAGTCATGCAAATTATCAAACAATTAAGATCTTAAAAAAAATCAGACCTTAAATATAGAAGTAATGAGGTTGTGTACATAGAATTTTAATTAAAAGTATAAATTATAACTTGGGAGTCACATGACTTAGTTCTGGAAAGATTGGGTAAAAATTTTGTATAAATCAGAAAAAAAACCTATAGATCAGATTAAAGATTAATATGCAAGAAATTCTTAAGAGAAATATAAAGTAATACCTTTTGGCTGACATATGTAGTCATACACCATTTTTGAGGTTCCTTCCTTTGTGCTGCCATATTTATTCTTATAACCAAGCTTTTTTATAAACCTGTTAATTAGCTTCAATATGAAGAGATTTATAGGAAAAATACATTTCTCCTTAAGTCCTTTATAGTTCAGATTGTTGGGATACATAGGCGTTTGATTAATATACATTATAGAATGCTAAGTCCTTAAAACAGTGACTTCAATATTGGCCGAATTATTAGATTTTAGAGACTACTCATTCACCTTTACTTTAAGTTTTCTGAAACTTGTAGACTTAAATGTTCTGTTCAACTGAGGAAGCAATGAAAACAAAACCAGGCCCCACTTTCTGTAGAAGAGATTATGTTCTCAAGTGAAGAATAAGAAATACAAGCTTTGTTACAATATAATACACAGAAATATGCAGACAGAAATGAAAAGTTAGTCATATATGTTGTTTAATGATGGGGATACATTCAGAGAAATGTTAGTATGAATATAATAAGGTGTACTTACACTAACTAAGATGGTTATCATGTCATTAGACAATATCATTTTGTGGGACAACCATCACATACACACTCAATGGCCAAAACATTGTTAGATAGCACATAACTGAGGTAAGATTTCTAAGATGAACATCTTTTTCCTTATATACTGCCATTATTTCAGTATTTTACCCAATGTAAGAGTAGAATGGGCAACAAGAGTTGACAGACCAATTTGTGTCTTCATACATGTACTTTGGATAATAATGTCCATCACATTCCACCATCATTGCTAACCCCACCTCCCCTTCCCCTCACACCCCTCTGCCCTATCTAGAGTTTGTCTATTCTTCCTGTGCTCCCCCTCCCTACCCCACTATGAATCAGCCTCAAGTATAAAGACAAGAATTGGTGTGAATATACTTTGTATACAACCAGAGATATGAAAAATTGTGTCCTGTTGTGTGTAATAAGAATTGTTTTTTAAATATTTTTTTAGTTGTAGATGGACACAATACCTTTATTTTATTTATTTGTTTTTATGTGGTGCTGAGGATTGAACCCACTGCCTAACATATGCTAGGCAAGTGCTCTATCACAGAGCTACAACCCCAGCCTCATGTAATAAGAATTGTAATGCATTTTGCTGTCATATATAAATTAAAAAAAAAAATCAAAACCGAAACAAAATAAAACAGAGTTGATCAGAGCCAATGGGAAATTCAGAAGACCTGATTCTTAAATATTGTTGGGTAGGTAGGCACAGTTCCCATTATCCAGCAAGGATATGAACCAGCTATATGTGTTCAGGCATTTGTAAGTAACTTCTCAGTCCTATTTTTCTCATGTTGGATAAAATTCTTCGATTTTCTTTTAAGATCTAAAGTTTTCCAGCTAACTCGGGCTGGCTGTCAAGTTTGTTATATAAATTTTATTAATAGCAGTTTCTTGACATTTACTAACTGCTTATTGTAGTTTATACAAAATATCACTTTCATATAAATCTTAACAACAAATATTTGCAAAACATTTATTGTAGGCATGGCATGGAATTTGGGTCAAAGGGAAAATTTTTTTTGCTTTCTAAAAATCTCCATGTTATAAGATGAAAGAAACAAATATTTATAATTAAGGAAAAGTTACATTTGTATCACACACTCTTAGGAAAGTTTCAGTGAATTAAATAAGATAAAAGGCTCAAAAGCTTAACAGGGAGTTCATGTTTTCCTTCTGCCTGGCTATCTTTCTTTCCTTCAGCACCTTGTATTATGTTTTCAATGAAGTTCTTCCTTCACTGAAGGAAGCTCTTTCTCATCCAAATAATCAAAAGTAATTTCTTTACTCTATAAAATCATATGAAGGTCTAATAACAGATTCCATGCACACTTCCCCAAATTTCTACCAATGGTAACAGACTGCAAAATTGTAGTATAATATCATAATTAGGATATTGAGAGTAATTAATTGAACAGTTTAAGCCACAAGATCCTTCATTTTGCCCTCTGATAGCTGCTCCCTTTTCTTTTTTATAACCTTGGAACCATAAAATTATTTTCTATTTTTAAAATAGAATAAATTCTCAAATTTTAAAATAGAATAAATTCTCAAAAATTTGAGAATGGTATAGAAATGGAATTTTATAATGTATAAGTTTTGGGGATTGGCTTTTTTCAACTCAGTATAATTCCCCAATGTCTTCAAGGTTTATAGTGATATCACTATTTCTTTGTGGATGATGATAACTCATGTCTTTTGTCAGTTTTGCTAGAGGTTTGCCAAATTTTAATGACATTTTCAAAGAACCAGTTTTTTGTTTCATACATTTTCTCTATTGTTTTAGTGTTTCCACCTCCATTATTTTTAATCTTTATCATTTCCTTCCATTTGCTTTGAGATTATTTTGGTTTAATTTGCACTGGAATTTTTGAAATGAGAGCTTAGATTATTCATTTGAAAATTCTCACTTTTTCCTTTTTTCTAATGATTGTATTATTTAGTGCTATATAGTCTTAGAACTGTCAGCTAAGCACCTAAAATTTTAATATATTGTATTTTCATGCTAATTTAATTCAATATACTTTTATTTACCTTGAAATCTTTTCTTTAACTGTTGAATTATTTAGACATGAGTTGTTGGCATATATTTGGAAGTTTCCTATTATCTTTCTGTTATTTATTTCCAGTTTTATTCCTTTGTGATTCTAGAACATGTTTTGTATGATTTTCAACTCTTAAATTTGTTGAGTATTGTTTTATGACCCAGAATGTGTCATATGGGCACTTAAAAGCATGTGTATCTGGCTGTTGTCTGACATTGATTAGATAATATTGGTTGATGGTTCTGAACTCTTCTAAATCCTTGCTGATTTTTTGTTTACTAGTTCCATAAGTAATGAGAATGGGGTTGGAAGTCATCAACTATGTTGTAGATTTTTCTGTTTTTCCTTTTAGTTCTATCAGATTTTGCTTCATTATTTCAAGGATCTGCTGTTTGATATACATACCTTAAATTCTCATGTCTGCTTAGTGGATTGATCCATTTTGTCATTATTCAATGTCTCTTTTTGTGTCTGGCAGTTTTCTTTGCTCTGATATTTACTTTATTTAATATGAATAGTTTGCACTTTTACCATGTTTTTTCTTTCAAACTGTTACTGAATTTGAATTGAGTTTCTTGTAAACCACATATTATTAGAACATATTTTGTTTGCTTGTTTTTAAGTTCACTCTTTTAGTCTTTGCCTTACAATTGCTGTTTACAACTTAGGTAATTATTGATATGTTAGGACTTAACTGTCATTTTACAATTTGCTTTCTATTTGTATCCCTCATTTTTCTTTTTTTTTGTTTTGACCATCTTATGGGTTATTCGAACACTTTTTTTTAGGTTCCATCTTGACTTATTTAATAGTGTTTTTTAACACATCTCAGTGGTTTACAAAAAAATTACATAATTAAAATTACAAATTAATGTGTGAAAAAATATATATATATACACACATAATTACTGGTATTCATCTTTTCCTTCTTAAAGTGAAATTCAGAAATCATACTCTGAATTAGGTACTTTTACCCTCCTCACTTGTAAAATATATTGTTGTATTTTTTTCTATATGCTACATTCCAGATGAGGTGGTACAATTAAAGAAATGAATGAGCATTAGAATGGACTCATTATTTTTATTTTCCCACTCATTCTGATTCTGATATTATTATTCCTTTTTTAATCTTCTATTTCCTTTAAGTTTAGAAAACTTCCTATTCTCCTTCTGTAAGGGTAGATTTGCTACCAAAAAATTCTTATACTTTCCCTTTGAGTTTGTCTCTCTTTTCATTCCTGAAGAATATTTTTGCTGAATACAGGATTCATGACTATTCTTTCAATTCTTCTCTTTTCAGTAATGAAATAATGTGCTACTTCCTCTGACTCCCATGATTTCAGATGAAAACTCTGTTATAATTCCAATTAATGTTCCAACATAGGTACAATATCCTCCCTGCTCCTGGTATCTGTAGTTTTGCTTCCTTCCTTTCCCAGAGTCATACATCGTTTAAAAATATTAAATGGAATATTTCAGAAATAAACAATTCGTAAGTTTCACACTGTTCTCAGTCTGAACAGTGTGGTATAATCGTGCACCCTCGTGTTCTGTCCTGGCTGGGATATAGAATCATCCCTTTGTCCAAGACATCTATCTACCCATTAGTTCCTTTGTAGCTATCTTGACTATCAGATCAATTGTCCTGGCACTATAGTGCTTATATTCAAGAAACCCATGTTTTACTTAATAATATTCCCATAAAAGAAGAATAGTGATGCTGTTTTATTAAGTATAATTGTTAGAATTATTCCATTTTAGTATTAGTTACTGTTCATATCAAACTGTACCTAATTAAAATTAAATTTTATTATGGATATGTAAGCTTAGGAAAAAAAACATTGTATACATAGGTACTACCTAATCTTCAAATGTATCCCCTGTGGTTAAGGGAGACTACTCCTATAATTAAGATTATTCTTTGTTTTTAATTGTAAGAGACATAGTTAAGATGTGTCTTGCCATGGATTTCTTTCAGTTTTTGCCATTTAGGGTTCAGTTTTAGCCTCTAGAACATGTAAATTTATGTGTGTTCTCAAATGTGAGAGCTTTCTATCATTTATTTGAGAGTTTTCTACTATTCCTTTGAACAGTCTTTTTCAGTCCACTTTCTCTCTCTGTTCTCCTTCTGGAACTCTGAAAAAAACTTTAGCTTTTTGTCATTATTCAACAGGTCCTTGAAACTGTCTTTTTAGATCCACCCACTCCCCAATCTGTTTTCTTTTGCTCTTCAGATGGGACAAATTCTATTCATCTATCTCCAAGTTCACTGTTTCACTCCTGTCATCTTTAGTGACTATAGTCAGTATTTTAAAATTAATTTTAATTATTGTATTTAATTATAACTTACTGTTTCTTATTATAACCTGGTATTTTCTAGGTTTTCTTTTTGAGATGGGGGTCTCATTATGTTGCCCAGTCTGGTCACAAAACTATTGGGCTCAATGATCCTCCTGCCTCAGCCTCCTGAGTAGCTGGGATTATAGGCCTTCAGGTTTCCATTTATTTCAAGAAAATTCAATTTTATCGGAGCATTTTTAAAACAGTTGCTTTAAAATCTTTGTCAAATAATTCCAACATCTGATTCATCTTAATGTTGTCATGGTTTGTTCTCTTTAACATGATTTTCCTGATTCTTGGTATTATAACTATGTTCTATTGTAGCCTACATATTTTGGATATTATGACTCTGGGTTCTATTAATCTTCCTTTTTTTAAGCAAACAGTACCCCTCTTGAGATATAATATAAGGGCCAAATGGGTATGTACAGCTTTACACTGGTCCCTAATGAAAGCACTCTAACAGACGTGGGCACTGAATTACACTGCCTCAATGATGTTGAAAGATGTAGAAGTTTAGCTCTCCATTGAGCCTAGCTGATATCTTCCCATGAAGAAGGAGCACCAACTCATACTAAAAAAGGCACCTTTTGTCTCCAAGTGGAGCATAAGATCAGCTCCCTACTGGCCCTGCTGACAAGAGTGGAATCACACCACTTTCTTATTAGAATGGAGGCAGAAGCTCCCTATGTGCTTGCTCCTCTGTCACCAGCTAATAAGGGGGGAGAGAAATGGAATGCAATTAGTTCCAGGGACAGATTTAGCTTTCCATGGAAGAAGGAGGGATGAAGCCTAGTCTTGACTAGTCCCACCAGGTACTGCCTTGTTGAGTTAGAGGTTAGAGGTACAGGCTCAGCTCTCATCCACTAGATCACACTGACACATCCTGGCAGATGAATTAGGTGAATTACCTCCTTCTTTCTAATGGAGATTAGAACATCAGCTGCTTGGATTCATTCCCCAGATAAACAAATAAATACATCATCATCATGATAAGGTCAGCTGCCTTCTCAATATTGCTGAGAGTATCCTGATAGGGAAATAGATACTGCCACCTCTTTGTCAGGTGGACACGCAGATTGCACTGATTACTTTCTAGGGGTTGGTATGGGGGCCACAGGTGTTTATCTACAGTAGGGTGGTCACTATCAAAGTGTTTACTGTTGTTATACTTTCCTTTTCCTGATCCTTTAACTAGAGGAAACAAACTTCTTAGAATTTTTTTTTTTCTTTCAGTGGTTATTCACAGTTCTAGCTTCTGAAGTATCTTGTCTGGGATATATATGGGAGGCAAAAAGAACACTTACTGTCATTTTTGTTCCAACGAACCCCAAAGTCTTTAGACAATATATTTTCCTCTTTCACCTTTTAGAGTGTTCCTATGTTTGGTTGTGTTATAACCAGGATGCAGGGAGCTGAGAAGAATGGGACTACTGTATCTTGTTAGATCTAAAAGTTTCTGTTATATGTAATTCTAATTCTTACATGTTAATCTATGGTATTCATTTGTTCATAATAAATTGTGCATACATCTTGTTATCTTTTACATGTGCTTTATATAATTCTTGACACAGTGGGCACCTGACATATGTTTGGTGAATGCTCTGATGTGAAGACATATGCATCCTATAGAGTGGTGGTTGTAGCCCTATGGATTGAGAAGGAATATTCTTTGATGGCAAAAAGAGAGGCTGCTCATTCACACTGATAGAATTGCTTTTCTTATCTCTGATGTTACATGACATATTCTGGATTGATTATCATTTTCCAGGCTAAAAGATAAAATTTTAAATCCTGAAGTATAGATAAGTGAAGTAAGTGATTGTGGCCCGCTCAGTTTGCCTAGACTTTCTTTTTTTTTTTTTTTTTTTAAGAGAGAGTGAGAGAGGAGAGAGAGAGAGAGAGAGAGAGAGAGAGAGAGAATTTTTTAATATTTATTTTTAAGTTCTCGGCGGACACAACATCTTTGTTGGTATGTGGTGCTGAGGATCGAACCCGGGCCGCACGCATGACAGCCGAGCGCGCTACTGCTTGAGCCACATCCCCAGCCCTGCCTAGACTTTCTTAGGTCCTCATCTCCTTCTGAACTCACAGGATCTCTCTTACTCCAATAGGGACAAATCTAAAGGTGTTGGTAATTGAAATTATGTTGTCAAAACTATGGCATCTAGTTCTTTGTAAAACCTTTTTTATGTTTAAGCCAACAACATGTGATAGAAAATTTAGATCTAAATTGCTGCCAATACTTCTCCAATTTTATAAGACATATCTTGCACTCTCTTACTATAAAACATCTGCTAGTTTTTGTCTCTTCTCCCTACTAGAATTCTAGCAACTTCAATGGAATCTGAAATAGATTTCATGGATAGCTGGTGTTGTATAGTACAATCGTTTATTAAAATAAGCAAATGTGTTACAAACTATGCTACTATTACAACTGAGATATGTGGGAGGCAGCTATTAGTATAAAAAATAAAGTAGGTGAATCGTTTTTCCCTAATCAGTCAGAATTTGGAGACTTTGGCATTTATACTTAAGACTATGAAAGAAGAGAGATTTGGTAAATATGGGAAGAGTCTCCATGACACAAATACTGACACACCAATATAAAGAAGTACTCAAATGATTCCATGGGTGTCTTTGAGAAATGTACTTACAATATGCTATAAAGAATCAGCCAATCATCAATCATATTTTTACAAATTATGAGTTACAACCTGAAAGTTAATTATCCTCTTCATATAATTTTATTACCTTCACACTTGTTTAGCCAATACACGAGCAGCTAGTTATTTCTCAATTAGCAAGGCAAAAATATAGTCGGTTTTTAAACAAGCCCTGTTTGGAATTTTGACTGTGTAGTCATATTGCCATCCAGTGGCCAAAATAAGTATCCTTATTAGATAAACAAGGGAAACCCACAATTTCCCTTCTATCAAAAAATTTGTACTTACTTGGAGACTTTATTGATTCCAAAAGCCACTTGTTGGTTAAGAGATGCAATTATTTTGTCTTTCTTTTTAATTTGCATTTGATTTTCTTGCCATCTAAATGTCACTGTTTTCAACTGTCTTTTGAAATCCTGGTCAATGAAAAATATTATTTCACAGTTAATTTGGTTTAAATCATTAGAAACTGAAAGAAAAACTAAACTGTATTCTTTTAAAAAAGAAAAAATATTAAGTTTAACATTTGAAATATTTCTTGCTTTCCTCAGATCTAGTGGGAAAAGTACTTACTTCACATTGATAGTGCAACTTATAAAGCTGCCGTTGACGGGCAAGCCTTTCCTTTTCAGTTTCTCCATAGTCTGTAGTTACCTTGCCAGTTGAACCCTATTAAGAATACAACAATTACTAATTGGGCATTATGTAAAATTGTGGATGTGTAACCGACGTGATTCTGCAATCTGCATTTGGGGTAAAATTGGGAGTTCATAAGCCACTTCAATCTAATGTATGAAATATGATATGTCAAGAGCTTTGTAATGTTGTGAACAACCAATAAAAAAAATTAAAAAAATAAAAAATTAAATAAAAAAAAGAAAATGAAATAATGCATGTCTTATTTTCCTCTTTAAAAAAGTACTACTATATTGTTATCTACAGGGGATTTAAAGATACCATCTAATAACTATTCATGTTTCATGTCTCAACTAAAACATCACTTCTCTGATGAGATAAACTCACCTCTCCCAAATTACACACTTCACTAACAACAATTACTTGTCTGCTGCTGCTTCTGTCGAATAACGCCATCAGCATGCTTACCTATACTAGCACATTTTAATTACACAAAATAATGGGTTTCACTGTGTCATATTCATACATGCAAATAATGTATTTTGATCACATCTACCCTCATACTTAACATTTTTTAAAGTATGCTTTTTGTAATAATGAGTCAGATACTCATTATTCCAATTTTAAGATAAAAGGAGTAGCAATGTGTCCAAGGTCACACAGCATGTGGAGGAACCTGATTTCTAACTTAATTATCCTCCTCATATAATTCTAATTTATATAATTTCTAACTTAGGCAGTCTTAATTGCCCAAACCTCTTCACTGCACTTTATCAACTCACTTTAATATTCAACTTCTCCACTAGATTGTAAACACTGTTAACAGGGACCATGTCTTAACATAATGTCTTGGCAACATGTACATCATAAATGTTTTTGTCTTTTCTTAAATGAATAAACATTTTTTGAAAGGTATGTAACATTTTAATTCTAATTTTGAGTTGCTAGAGCTCTCCTGGATACTAAATAAAAACTTGGGGTCCCATAATTAAACTTTACCATGACATCCAAAACTAAGAGTATGTAATTTCAGTTAAAATGTACATATTTGAATACTGTAGATGGGAAGGAGAAAAATTGGGCATGACCATTTATATGAATGCTGTACTACCAGTCAGGTAATCATCTGTACTGACAAATACTTCTTAGTGAATATACAAACAGTGACTACTATCACCAAGGGAACAAGAAAAAAATATTGTACATTATATTTTTGTAAACACTTGATAAAAACCAGATTTAATTAAAAAAAAAGTAAGTATGTTTTACAAAACTATTTTTGGTCATGACATTGAATCCAGTAAAATTATGCTAGTTTTCTTCCCCCTTGTGGTGTCCATAAACCTTTTAGAAAGAATACATTTGTAATCACTTTGGCCAATAGTGAAGGCCAAGAAACGATTTGAAGGCTAATATGAAACATTTCCAGTTCCTAAAGTTTTTTCTCCCCTTCTTTTTTTTTTTATTCTTCACCCTCTAAACCATATCTCCTTTTCTGTTTTTACTTTCTCCTTATAATAGCAGAAACCGCTGGGTTTTTAAAAAAGTCATTCTGGGGGCTATGGCTGTGGCTCAGTGGTAGCACATGTGCCTGGTATGTGTGAGGCACTGGGTTTGATTCTTAGCACCAGGTATTAAGAAAATAAAGATCTATCAGCAAAAAAAATGAAAAAAAAAAAGTCATCCTGTTCAAAGAATATGGAAAACAACAAAGGTTAACAACTATTTCTGGAATACAGAATCCGGGCTGTTCCCTCTCTACTCACACTTACCTGCTCTATCATGTCTAGAATATGCAATTCATCCAGGCTGTAAAACTTGTCTTCAGATGCAGAATCCTCTTGAATGTCACTTGCATCATCTTTCATAAATCTACCAATGAGTTGTGGATTTGTTTGTTCTTTCTTCAACTGTTCTTCCTTCTCTACCATATATGAGCTGTAGTGGTGAAATGATCAATGTGATTTTTTATTAACTATACATTGCTTTTCATCTAAGCTATTGTTTCTTAAATTAGTATTGTACTTGTCTCATGAGATGCCCAGAATTAGAAGGTGTCATGGTTAAAGAATGTTTGGATAGTGCTCATACCATATTTTTCTCTTCAACATTCACAACAAATATCAGAATATTTGAAAGAGCATTAAAAGAAACTATTAAATCCTATTCAACACAATAAATTTATTTATTTATTTTAGTTATATAAAACACACCTGTGTAAGGTGTAACCTTACACCCTGTCATTATCACAAAGGTATGGAAGTCAAGCAGTTCCAATTCAATCTCCACAATTTCTCCCTATCTTCCCAGTCCTCTCCAGTCAATCTTACTTCAATCCATTTATAGTTTTTTTTTTTTTCAATTAGTGTCCTGTGGATATACCTGATGCTGGGACCCACTGTGCCACACTCATGCATTCACATGCAAAAGCTTGGTCAGATTCATTCTACTATTTTTCCCTTTTCCCATCTCTTCCTTCTCCTCCTTAATCTCCTTTGTCTACTCCACTCACCTTTCCTCTATATTAATGAAATTCAAGCTACCTTTTTCCTTTCTTTGTCTTTTAATGTTCCCCCCTTATTTTGGATTAGCTTCTGCATATCAGAGAAAAGATTCTACCTTTGACTTTTTGAGACTGGCTATTTCACTTAACACGACAGTCTCCAGATCCATCCATTTACTGGCAAATGCCATAATGTCATTTTTCTTTATGGCTTAGTAATACTCTACATTGTGTGTGTGTGTGTGTGTGCGCATGTGCGTGTGTGTATACACATATGTATATATTTGTGTGTGTATACACACGCGCGCGCGCGCACACACACACACACACACACAAACACACTTTTCTTTTATCCATTCATCTGTTGAAGGGCACCTAGGTTGGTTCCATAGCTTGGCTATTGTGAATTGTGCTGTTATAAACATTAATGTGGCTGCATCATTGAAGAATGCTCATTTTAAATCTTTTGTATACATACCAAGGAGTGGGATAACTGTGACACATGGTGGTTCCATTTCTCGTTTTAGGAATCGCCATACTGCATGGCAGAGTGGTTGTACTAATTTGCAGTCCCACCCATAATGTATGAGTATACCTTTTCCCCACATCTTTGTCAACATTTACTATTATATAATTGCCTTTCTGACTGAAGTGAGATGAAATCTCAAAAAAGTTTTGATACGCATTTCTCTAATTGCTAGATGTCAAACATTTTTTCATATATTTGTTGACCATTTGTATTTCTTTTGAGAAGTATCTATTTTGTTTCTCAAATTATAACTGAATTATCAGTTGACGTGTAAAACAGTATTTTGAGAAACACTGGCAAGCATGTCCACATCTGCTCTATTATTTATTCATCTGAACATTCCCTACCACCCCAAATTGTCTTGACAAGTAGGCTGGTTTAATCAACTTCAGTGTAAATGGAGGGCTATGCATAGCAACATAAAATAGATTATCAAATGTAAGTTTCTTTTACAAAAGAATTTTTAAATAAAACTATAGTGACAACATAGCATTCAGTAACTACACCACTAATAAGAACCACTAAAAACTAAAAATAAAAATACTAAATATATAATGTCAAGTGTCCAATTTTTATGCTTATGTCTAAATTTAAATGCATGCTACTAATCTTTTACTTGGCCTACTAATTAGTAACTCTAAATTTCTTCCCTAATCTCCCTGAATGATAACTAGAAATAGTACTTTTATTTAAAACATAATATAGATGACTTGATTTTGCAAGTGAATAAAATTTTAGGATACAGTATTACTTTTTTAGAACACTAACATCTAACGTTTGTAGAATTGATAAAACACTATATAAGCAGTCATTAGACATAACTGAGATATTCTAGAATGACTTAAACATTTAGAAAGTTCAGTGGAATCAATTGTTTATATGGACCAGTTTCCCGAACTCAATTTTTTAATTTATTTGAAGAGCTTAAAAAAAAAAAAAGATACAAGTTTCCAGGCACCCCTCTAAGTAAAAAATATATATATATAAATTTGCATTTTTAAAAGCTTTCCAAGGGCTGGGGATGTGGCTCAAGCGGTAGCACGCTTGCCTGGCATGCGTGCAGCCCGGGTTCGATCCTCAGCACCACATACCAACAAAGATGTTGTGTCCGCCGAGAACTAGAAAATAAATATTTAAAATTCTCTCTCTCTCTCTTCTCTCTTTAAAAAAAAAAATAAAAATAAAATCTTCCCAAGATTATTCCTAAATATTTTCAGTACAATAATGGCACTGGAAAATATAGGAAAATGTTCATATTTTTAACAGTTGAAAACTGAAGTATAAAGAGGTAAAATTACAATAATTTTCGAGACTGAAAACAGAACAAAATGTCAAACAAAGTACGAAACAAATGTGAAAGAATGATTAACTGATGAATTGGGATGATAGGTATTTATACTGTTGTATATATAGTATTCTCTTTACTTTGTGGATATTTGAAAATTCTCATTTAAAAACAAAGCCTCCAGGGTATATTGATCATTATATAGATTTGGATCTACAATGTAAAAAAAAGATTGCTGACAATGTGTCACTTTTATTAAGTAATTTTTATGGCATTTAGAAAAAGCCAAGAAACAAACAAAACAAAAACCTGTTGCTCTAGTGGCTCAATATGTTGCCAAAGAAAGCAAAATCATATCTTGGCTGATGAACTAATTTTGGTGGGGGAAGGGTACCAGGGATGAACTCCGCCACTGAACCATATCCCTGGCCCTATTTTGTATTTTATTTCAAGACAGGGTCTCACTGAGTTACTTAGCACCTGCTTTTGCTGAGGCTGGCTTTGAACTTGCCATCCTCCTGTCTCAGCCTCCTGAGCCACTATGATTATAGGCGTGTGCCACTGATGAATTATTTATTCAACAAGTGGATTGTGTCCATAAGAAATATTTACTAGAAATAATAGCTTTAAAGTTTATAAAATATGTTCTTGCTTTCATTTAAAAGATATCCCAATTTATGTTCTGAGAAATTTTCTAATGTTTCTAATAAACAGTTACCAATATTTTGGTAGAAATAATGTCGTTTCTTCATTAAATGTTCTATCCCCTTCCTTCATCTACTATATTGTGATCAATCACATGGTTATATAATATCTCTTAGTGGTGTTTTGACATTGAAATGTTTATGTTAAAAGTTAAAAATTCACTGTCAATAACTGAGATTAAAAAAAACAAACAGGGGCTAGGGATGTGGCTCAAGCAGTAGGGCGCTCGCCTGGCATGCGTGCCGCCTGGGTTCGATCCTCAGCATCACATACAAACAAAGATGTTGTGTCCGCCAAAAACTAAAAAATAAATATTAAAATTCTCTCTCTCTCTCTCTCTCTCACACACACACACACACACACACTCTCTCTCTCTCTCTCTCTCTTTAAAAACAAACAAACAAAAAAACCACCACCACCACTTTAGGTTAAATAAAAACACATTAAATCGAACTCTTCTAAAGAGGTCACTGGGGAATAACAATGATTTATTCTAGATCTAGTCTAGATTTGGCTACTACAATATAGAATGCAATTAAAAATATTTTATGCAGAACTCAAGTTATTTCCTGAATGAATCAGTGAGCACTAGATGACTCCTAAGTAGCCTCAGAGAAAAAATGGTGAGAGACTATTCTTCCAAGCTAAATATTTCAACTTTTTGTCATTTTCTGCAACATAGCAGCAACTTGTTAAGAAAAATAACTTTTTTTTCTTCTCTTAGTGAAAAATTTTTCAAAGGAAAGCTGAGTGTTATGGACAAAGCACACTTTGCAAATACTAAGAAAAACTTAAAAATTGAATTAAATAATACTTACACTTGCTCTTCTTTTGAGTCCTTATTCTGAAAAAAAGCATTAAGAATTAATAACCTATATCAACTATATCAATATAGCATAGTGATATCTCATTTAGATCTAGTGTTTCTCAAATATTTTTGATCACAACCAAATAAATACATTTTATATCATGATGTCATATATGCTTACTTATCTATATCTTTACTCACAAGTGAAAAACTAAAATATAAATTTCATGAAATATTCATGTTATCTGTAATGAACAGTGACTATGGTATTGTTTATTTCTATTATTCTACCTTCTTTAAAATGGTGGTTCTAATCTATTAAATTGATTTTATAATCTACTACTAAGTCATGACATATAACATTAAAAATCACTGACTCAGATAATGAAGGTGAATATTGGGGTCGAGTTTGAACTGTTGGTAAAACTAAGAAAAGGGTATATGTAATTTCGATTTATTCCAATGCTAATTACAAGGGTTCTTGGAAACCTTCATGTAAAGTGCAATCAGACTAAAACATTAACAATCTTAAACAAGGTGGCCAGGACCGGTGGCAGACGCCCATAATTGCAGTGGCTCAGGAGGCTGAGGCAGGAGGATAATGAAATTAAGTTCAAAGCCAGTCTCAGCAACTTATGGAGGCTCTAAGCAACTCAGTGAGATCTTGTCTCTAAATAAAAAGATATACAAACAAGGGCTGGGGATATGGCTCAGGAGTTAAGTGTCTCTGGGTTCAATTCCCAGTAGAAACAAAATCAAAAGAAAAACAAACAAACAAACAACAACAACAAAAAAACAATAACAGAGAAGTATTCAGGAGATCTCAGTTTGGAGGAAATCTTTAAAAAGTCCCTAAATTTTATCTTCATTAAAACTATAGCAACAATGTATCAAATAAAGGTAACAGAAATCACATAAATTAGGAATACTATATAAGAATTAATTTCTACCATTCTCTTGTTTACAAGAAATTCAGAGTTTCTTTCTATACAGACAATGGTCTTCTTCATTTAAATTATTTTTTAATTTTTTTTAGTAGTTGATGGAAACAAAACCTTTTATTTCATTTATTTTTATGAGGTGCTGAGGATCGAACTCAGTGCCTCACACATACCAGGTAGGCTCTCTACCACAGAGCCACAACCCCAGCCCCAGACAATGCTCTTCTGCTGTTACCAGTACACTAAGAAAATTCTGATGTTTCAGTTTTCTGACTTACGTTCAATGTTCAATGCCAATTTGATTTTACAATTTAGAATTACTGACTCTGACTTTGGTTCCTGTGCATTTGAATGCCCAAGTTGAAAAGATCTTTGGTTGTACATAATAAGTATACCTAGTATAGTATAAATTATTTCTAGACTATTTCTCAAATTTCCTTCTAGCTGTTCCTATGACAACTTTATGCCAATATACATCAATTTCTCTTGAATTCATCTCTGCAACTTCTGTTCTGTAGCAAGGCCACGCAATCTGAAGAGCTAGATTTGTTTTCTGTCATTTTTTTTTTTCCCCACAAGGCTTCATCACAAAAGACTTCTATTCTTTTCCCAATTCTAACCCTGGGAAGGAGATGGAAGGATCTAAATATCCAAAAGAGTTATTTACAATTCAGATTATATTAGAAAGAATACTCAATACCTAACTGAAGAAAGAGAAAATATAGAATAGCTACAAAGTCTGTACTGTCCCCACTATATGCTATACAAATTCTACCTTTTCTTGATATTTTATTAGAGAATATAATTTCATGCAGAGACTGCTATGGTTTCAAATGACTGCTATGGTTTGGATATGAGGTGTCTCCCAAAAGCTCATGCATAAAATGATGCAAGAAAGTTCAGAGGTGAACTGATTGGGTTATGAGCCACTTGAATGGATTAACTGGGTGGAAACCTAGGAGGGTAGACAGGGTATGTCTGGTGGAGATGGGTTGCTGGGGGTGTGCCTGTATAGTACATATTCTGTCTCTGCTGAAGTCTGTCTGCTTTCTGGTGTGCCATGTCTTGAGCTGCTTTCCTCCACCATACTCTTCCACCATGAAGTTCTACATCAAGCCCAGAGCAACAGAGTTGGCCATCTCTGGACTGAGACATCTGAAATCATGAGCCCCACATTAACTTTTCCTCCTCCAAATTGCTCTTGCTGGGCATTTTGGTAACAGCATTGCATAGCTGACTACAACAGTCATTGTTGCTTTGTGCAAGAAGCATACTTTAATGTTAAAATTTTTCGTAAGAATTCCTCATTAGAGAATTGGTTGATGTCACTGTTTGTAACTGGTTGCTATGCTACAACTAGACAATTCTTTGCACCTACAGCACAGCAATTTAAGCATATGAATAGGATTATTCCATATAAAATAATTGTTTGTGTAACTTTAAGCATTTTTTAAATATTTTAAAATTTAGGTGAAAGATACAAGATAAAGGTATAAGATCTCTCTTCTAATATCCAAATTTTATCTTAATAAAATTTATTTCAAAAGTACTTGAACTTCTTAAACTAAATTAGGAAAAAAGATGTTAAGGAAACAAAATAATACCTAGATATTTGTTGACATTTAATAAAACATTTTTAATATCCATATGTATGAAAGTTTGAGTGATATTTCCATTTATTTCTAGTTGTATTTTCTCTGTTTGGTTTCAATTTGACATTTCTATTTAACTAAAATTGAGAATTTGAGAATTATCATATTTTAATTTTTTGGAATCAGAGAAAAGACATACTACATAGAACTTAGTTTTGTGGTTTGACAGCTGTGAATTTACTTGTCCAGCTTTAGATAGTCTTAGACCTGGGACTTATCAATATTTTGGCAGAAATAAAATATACCACTAATCTAGTGAACGG